CCCTAAGTCAAACATTGGAACAAAGGTTAAGCTGAACACATATCATAGGAAAAGAAGACTAGGACCCCATCGACGAACCCCTTACACTATTAGGCATTTGAGGCCAAGGAACATCACGTAGATTTCATGTTAGACATTGTGAGACAAAATTTGAAAAAAAAATGTTAGATACAATTAATGACCTTGGGCCTGTGCCATATCATAAATCTCTTATGCTTCATAAACATCATCTTTATTGCTTGGACCAGCACTGGATTCCTTTGAGTAATTTGTGTCTTACTCTACACCATTACCAGTATATACAATCTATTACCATCACATACAACTTTTATCTACCAGCTATTGATAGTGAATTACCATCATTATACAGTTGTAATAATATTTATGTTGTTGTCATATTAGTAGTAGTATCATACTTATGGCCTAACATTGGTCACAACAAAAGAAAAAACCTTATTGATCCCAGTAATTAGGTCAATAAGACATAAATCACAATTATGTATACCCTGCAACATTACTAGCATCTAAAATAAATTATCATCACATCGAAGTATCAAGTATCAGCATTTTAAATGTATTATCAAATGCTGGATAACACTATACCCCAATATAGTTATCCCCAATTGCCAACATAAATGACAAAATCCATGGTTGGTGTTAGGCACCAATACTCAAAAATTATCAATAACAAAAGGTTTTAATTAAGTTCAGTAAGACGAAAATATAATTAAGTTTTTTGTCTCTGTTATACAACATTATATAAGAGAACATATATAGTAATTCCATCAAATTGAAAATATAATTACCAGGTCTTTTTGTTCCCTTATCATCTTTGTACAGTTCAATTAAGGCTAATTTGTTATCATTGCAAGTTGTAGTATTATAGTTATGGGAAAATATTTGCTTACAAAAATTAAATAAACTTATCTTCCAATTAATTAAGATCATGTATCATATTACATAACCGAAAAATAAACCAAATGTAATAACTACAACATTATCAGTATCTGGAATCAATTACCATCCTATTTAAAATTTAGTTACCAGCTTTATATAGTCAATTACCATCTTTATACAGTTCAAATAAGACAAAATTTTTACCATTTCAATTTTACTATAAAAGCTCAGGTAATACAACTCAAGTATGTAAATCTCGTATTGATCAATAGAAACTATACATTATATTTATAAACAAAAATCACAAGGGTTACATTACACAATTTACAACTTTACAAGAGACAATGTGAAAACTTTGTTCTTATACAATTCACTGTGTCCTATCTTACAGATAACAGCAAACAGAAAATATTGTGTTGTCCAAGTAACCATATTCAACAGACCTATTGTATCATCTATGTTGCTATTTACAATATACCAAAAAAATAATAGTATGGTTCAACTCTTGAGGTCTATTATCCTACCTTTCTAACCACTTAATGTTAAGACATCATATCTCCAGGAAAAATAATGATTTTGCATGGTGAAGCTAAAAGTTTATGCACAGTATGTACATATCATCCTACATACACAGACATTATTCATTATTAAATAAGCAAAAAATAAGTATTAAAACCATATTCAAGATTGGTTCTGCTAATCTTACCCATTCAAAACAAAATAGGACCATAACTTATCTATCCACTAGCCAAACATGCATGTAATAACACTTGTAACTGCAATTTACTTGTACAATCACTCTGAAAATACTGATAGGCAAGTATCAATTCTGCATTTGTTTTTACAGACCCAAATTGGTTATAGTTACAAATTTAACCTAAACTTCATGCAAACATATAGTACATTACTATTATCACTTACAACCTTGACCGACGACTGAATGCATAAGTTACTTTTTTCTTATGCGAAAGTCTTCATTAACATCAATATCATACTAGAACTAACTATTTTCTTCCTTCATCCTACAAAAATAATCCACCAATGCTTTTGAATCTCCTTCCTTGGCAATCAAACGTCTTTCCTTGTTAATGTAGTTTCTCACATCCTTTTCTACAAATGTCAAATTATCATGTCCACCAACATCATGAACAAGGGTTTGAAAAGTCTTGTTTATCCTCGCCCCTGCCTCACTATGTAAATCAAGAGTTCTTCTCATATGCATGCTAATATTCTTATTTTATTTTTTTAAAACATTTTAGCCTTTGAAGGACTCAATCCATGAGAATGTTGTAGAACAACTATTTTTATAGATCACTTTTCGGATCCCTTTTTCTTTGCTGTGATCTTTGCTTCACATTTGGCAGCTATCCTAGGAAGTGTCTTCAAAGTTGTTGGTACCTTTGAAGAGCTCTTTCCTTCCTATATGCATGTAATTATCAAATTATTCAACTCTCCATCAGGGCCTTCTTTTGAATTTCTAATCTTCTATCCAAAACCCACTTTAGTTGAATAGTTCTTGTAAAATACTTTAATAGCTTCAACATCATCAAACTCTATTCCAACACTTGGCTCAACTATGTCAGAGCTATCATAGCTATCATCCTCACTAACAACTTCACACACGAGCTCAACAACATTTTCGTTGTTATATTTCTGTGGTTTCTCCTCAATAACTCTTTGCACCTCTATATGCTTTAAATGTTCAAGCTACAACCTGTAAAAAACACACAAAATAGAAACAAAAAAATTAAACATTATAAAACAAGGGGTGCTCTATAAAACAGAGGGTCATGGGCGTGAACTTTGTCAAAGCCCCACTTACCAAAAACTATTCAGCTTAAATGCGAGACCCTGAGTTTTCGATTTGTATTGCACCACCTTTGATAGGACTCATGTATTACTCAGATGAGAAGTGGGACAACAAACTCACACACAGTAATGCAGAGTGTAGGACAAAAGTAATGTGAAGAACAAGTAACATAAAAAAGATGTAGTTTTAGCAGAGGAAGAACATGGTGGGATTGAAGAACTTGATATTTCTCGTGTAGACGTGAGAGGAGAAATAGGAGAGACGAAGTGACACAGTAAATTGCTCAAATGAGGGATAACACGCAAATACCCAAGAGTAAGCTGTGAAGAACAAGTGAGATAAAGTCACACAACAATGAATAGTCCTTGAGAGTGAGAAAGAAATTTTAACTTTTTTTGTAGAAGGACAGCGCGATTCAAATTTATTTTTCTTTGGATTTGTTCAAGAAGAAGAAGAAGAAGAAGAAGAAGAAGAAGAGAGGAGCAACTTGAGGCGCAGGAGAGTTACACGATGTTTTAGTTTTTTTTTTTAAAATTTGGTTAACTTTGAATTTAGGCACTATGTTCACGTGTGTAGAATAACTAATATGCAACCTTGTATTTGAGAATTGTTGATATACGATGTTGGGTATAAACACCAAATTCAAGTTTTTGAATAGCATTATTGGTGAAAAAAACATGGGAGGTCAAGCTAATCATCCGAATATTGTGGATATCAACTTAGTTTTTTTTTTTTTACAATATAAAATATTTTAATTCTTGTCCTTGATAATGGATACTAAATTAATAAATAAAAAAGATTAAAGAAAGAATGCTGAATGTTAAAAAAAAATAATTCCTTAAACATAATATTGATTCAAAAAACTGTGTAAAATATGAATCAATTTTAAAAGTAAATTAATGTTTAAAGATAAACTAAGTAAATATTTATTTTCAATATATAAGGAGAAAATTAATACCTAATATTTTAAAAAGATTAACATGATTTGACATGGTATTCTGAATAATCAATTTCAGTATTTATTAAATGTAATCATTACTTGTGAATTATTTTAATGTTGATGAAATGAGTCGATTTAAATATGTTCAATAGAACATAAGACTTTAAGTTTGAGTCTGAATTAAATTTAAATTTTTAGAAGTTCAATTAATATGTTTAATATAAGTTAAGCCTACAAAATATTTAAAAAAAAAAAAAAGAAGCTTTATTAGGTTGAGTTTCGTTTATACAAGTTTAAATTGAAATTGAACTTTTTGGCACGATTCACTAAAATTCAGTGCTCATAATAGTTGGTCCTTCGTTAACTTGTTTTATATACTTTAATTTTATTTAAATGTCTTACAATTTAAGGCTCCTAAGAAGATCAATAGTTTATTTCAAATAAAATTATTGTTTTCATTTGATTTCTTTGCATTTCGCAATGGAAAAGCAGGATTCTTAAGTTTTTGTAAATATCAAAAGTATAGTCGACAACGACAAAAAAGAATAAATAAAATTGGGTACCATAAGAGAGTTTATATTAATGATTTTTTCATTTTAAATTTTTTGACAAAATTATATAAATATGTCCAAATGATGATTTTAATTCTCAAGTAATTAGTTATGATTAAAACTCGCTTTTGACGATTTTAAATGCATAAAATAATTTTTTTTCACTTGTAAAAATCGTTATAAAAACATTAGAAAGTCAAGGGCGAACTCAAGACCATACAGAATGAGAGACGGGCACAACGCACTTTTTGGTTCCAACATAAGAAATCCCAAATTGCAAATTTGCAATCGAAAAATATTTCCGTAAGGATAACCAGTTAAATAATAATTTGATCCGTAACGCTATCATAAAAGAAGCAAGTTACATGGAGCCATAACCCCAGACATTGCTATGCAATGGTACTATGTCGGGGATTAAAAAAAAAAGGTGAGGGAATAATTACAATAGACTTCATTAATAAACAGTGGAAACCTGTTTCGTACCCCACCAAAAAAAAACGGGTTGGTTGGTTTCAACTAACTCTGATTTTATGTCCTTAAAATTTAAAGTAGGCCGAACAAACAGAAAAACAAAATTGCAAAAAGTTGTTTTTGAAATAACAGTTTTTTAGTATAAGTCATTTCACTTCAACTCAACTTCAATCAAAATTGCCTTTTTAGAATCCAGATCACTAAAATTTAAGTTGGCAAACACTCAATCAAGTACATCCAATCTAATTCATAAATGATGTGAGGAAAAGGTGGAGGAGATGGTGCAGAATTTGACAAGTGCAGCTATATTAATCCAGCACGAAAGGACTTTCCTCTACAAAACGTTAAAAAAATAAAACACTGATAAATAGTTAGAATCTAGTAATTTGGTCTTCAATTTCTTGAAGTATATTATCATTGACATCAGTATCAAACAAAAATCAATAGGAAACACTTCACATGGTAGCTTCCACTTCAGGATCGCTTCCGCGCTGTGCAGCAGGTACGTTATTGCCACCTCTCAAACGTGAAGAAACATCATCAATAGCAGAATTTAATTGGCTTATCTTTCTGTTCAATGTCTGCCTCGTCCTCTGTTTTCAAGAACAACATAACAGCATTATAAAAAACACAGGATATTCCAGTTGAACGTAAACCGTAAAGCCCAAGGGAAGCCAAATTACCTCTAACCCTACGTCATAATACATTGGTCTTTTGGCCTTGCGAAACCCATATTCATCTTCATTAAGCAGAGATCTTCTGAGCTGCATCACATAAATTGACGAAGTCAACATCCTAACTTAGAGGCACAATTTTAAAGGAACAACACTACCTTACGACTAAATAGAAGTAGAAATAACAGAGATACAACAATGTAATAATGATTCAGAGATGGCCCTATTACTAGAAATGTAAATGATTGCTTGTGGTGCAGTCATGGAATAAACTGCAGAATCTTAGCCATCTAAAGTCCTGCTAAGAGAGCACAAATGCTAAAGACAACGATAAAACTAGGTTCCAAGATGAAAAATGGTGTAGCAGCATACTTTTTCAGACAAATATTTATCCAGTTTAAAATATCTATGATGCAAGGGAATATAATATTTTCAAATTCAGACATCATCATTCAGACACCATCGAGCATGATCGTTATATATTCCTTGCTGTTCAATTACACTTGTTAGGGTTAATAAATTGAAAATCAGAGAGTAGAAATAACCTGGGGGGCAAAGATATAAGCTAAAGTTCCAAAAATTGCACCTCCCACAAGAAAGCCGGCAAGAAAATCCCCACCTCCACCTCCACTAGTTTCACTACACAAAGGAGGCAGCAAGTAGAAATAACAGTAAATCTTTACTTAATCTTCCAAAGCAAGAAACAAATAAGATAAAGTGCTACGTGCAAACTTCAACATTGCACTCCTAGCATTTTAAAGATGAGCTAGGACAATGTAAAGTTGAAAATGGAACACCCAACTAGTATTTAATTTAGACATTATTATCCTGGCCTTTTAGGAGCACAGTTTTTAGACTTCCCAAGGATAAGAAACTAACTTTATTTTCAAAAATATATAAGTAGCAATGTTTATTTTTAATGGCAATCTAGCAATGAGTCTTTTATAAGAAAGAAACAAGCAATTAGTCCATATTCATAGAAATCGGGGAGCACAACAATAAACTAGAATTTAGAGGACAAACACCATTAGCTCTGTTACAGAAATATGGCCACAAGTGTCCTGACTCCTGGGCAATAGGATAGGATTCACGGTTTCTGCAACTTTAGTAAAATCTTGATATGTATAAGTGAGGGAATATTAAATAAAAGATTAAATCATTCAGAATGTCTATAATTTTATAAAACTTCTACATAGACCCCTAGAATTTATAAGTTTTTGGTGGAGTCCCTATTATTTTAAAATAAAAAATTCCTCAAAAGTTAACAGCGCCTAAAACCCAATTAATTTTTGTTAAATGATAATTATTTAAAATACAGATAAAAAGAACTGTTAAATAATAAATAGTACTATGTGTCAAATAAATCTCTACAATTTATTTAAGTATTCAAATAAGGGCCAATTAAATCATAAATATCTGTTAAAATATTAGTTTAGTTCAGTATTTAAATAAGTCTCTATGATTTAAGTGAATGTTAACCACCGTTAATGATAACTCATAAAAGAAATTATAAAAGAATAAGGATCCCATTAAAAATATGGGGACTTATTTTAAAATTCAGAAAAACTATAAGAAATTTAACCTACATAAAATATGTACATACATATGAAGGAACGCGATGTAAATAATGAAAAAATGTAACTTTTTTACAGACTATACAACAAAATGAAATTTAGAAAACGATACTTGGGTATATAGGTTTACAAATTTGAATAAAGTTAAGCATGCACTTTTTTTAACACTCTTTAGTATTTGTTCATTGTCTGAGAAGTCAACATATTCCTTAGAAACACCTACTTACAAGTTAATTAACTTTTAAAAAACGAAAGAGTAATTGCACTTTTTTTTTTACAGATTCAGACAAACACAACCCAGAAAAGCACGAATCAAACATATTTTCTGTATGTATCTACCAACAACACAAGAGATGAGTTTTCCTGTGAAGCCAGAAAGACAGCAAATGCATACAAACAGATTAGGAATGCATTGATCAAGTACCAGCTGAACTGGCCACAAAAATAGAACGGCAATAACATCGAATCGATTTTCATAAACAAAATATGTCAAATACCGGTATTCTGCAGAAATTGCCGATCTATGGTTCCTGTTCACACCCAAAGTTGATTTCTTTGGAACACATAAATTACGCTTTGTTACACACAGCTCAGGTGTCCTCAGATGCGCTCTACCTATTCCCAAACCAAATAAAAAATCAAACAAACACAACAATTTCAATCTATATTTGAATGATAAAAAAAAGTTTAGAAGAAACACTAAAAATGAGAAACAAAAAAGCCTGAAATTCAAGGGATCCTAATTGGGATCAAAGGGCACAACATTTTGTAACAGTCAATTTATTTTGAACGTAGTTGATTAGATTATGTGAAGGCAAATGCGAAGTGCGCAAATGTCACCTGAAACGGAGAATGGAGCAAACGAAGCAGCCATGAGAGAAAATGTAGAGAGAGAGAGAGAGAGAGAGAGAAGAAGGTGAGTGCGAAAGAGTTTAGTGTGGAAGGTGGAAGACGTTACGATCCGATTGAGACATGTCTGGCAGAATGCTATTTTAAAAAATGATTAAAATAAAAATATAAATTTAATATTAATTAATAACAAAACAAATACTTAAATTATTATTATGACTATGCAAATAATATTTTGTTGATTGGTTAAGTAATTTGCAGGATCCTGAAAAAACAAGGCCGTCTGCATGGTTGTGAAGTGTATAATTGTATCCAGTTTATTTAGGAAAACATTTTTGCTTAATTATTATTTATCAGTTTTTTTTAATATATGTTCCAGGACATATGTTAAAAAAATATTAAATATATTATATTAAATATTTTAAATTATTTTAAAAAGTATGTATTAAATTTATTTATAATTTTAATAAAAAAATTTAACTTTTTAACATATGTCATTAAACACGTATTCAAAGATCATGAAACTTGTTTCTTAATTTTCTTTCTCTATTCTTTTTAGCAGTGATAAATATCTATTGTAATTATTACTTTTCTCTCTCTCTCTTTTTCTTTTTCTTCAAATATAAGCACCTCAACAACTGTCTACAAATTTTATTTTATTTTTTCTATTATGGATTGCTAAAAGAAATGCAGAGTTGGAGAAGGAGAAAGATAGGGTAACCTACTTTGATGACCATCAAGAATCAGCCAATGAGGTTGTTGATGATATATGATGAACATAGAAATATCACAGAAAAAGAGGGTTCCTTAATCTTCATTTACCTAATTAGTGCTTGTAGTGTGGAAACACTAGGGAAAGACAAGTTGTAATACAGGGGCAACAAGTTAATAAGTTAAGGTCATTACAGTCAAATAGCGGTCTTAAGATTAAGAAAGATATGAAATAATGGATGACAATGGTAAGTGTGGGCATGGAAATATGTAGGTTTCTCCAACGGCAGTGATCAGCAAATTCTGGTCCCGTCGAGCAATAGCATCGTAGTTCATGCCAGTTGAAATTGTCAATTGGTAGTGGCAACTAAACAATATATGAGAATAGGTGTAATTTCAATCAGTAAATTGTCATCCTTACTTGACTAATGAGGACTGGGTTAATCGGAAGTTTTTTTTTTACCTGGTTAGTCGTGAGGAACAAGGATATTGGAAACATTTTTCAAAAAATTACAGACTGTATTTGAATTGATAAAAATGGCTTACAATTTTTATAAGATTTTTTTTCAGTATATTTCAATAAAAAAAATTTCATGAGTAACAAACTATTAAAATAAAAATTTTTAAATTTATTTCAATAATATAATAAATTTATGACATAAATTCTTATACGATAAAAATGTGTTACTTCATTAAACTATTTAATCAAACTCACTTGAAATGAAGTAGAATGTGATGTAATTTTCAATAACAATATTCATAAAAGAACCTTGATATAATAAAATACACAATATTAAGTTTGATTATGCGCTTTTGATCTCTTGTTAAATATTTCCTACAGTATTTTTTATTATACATCTTTAATTAAATTATAAAAATTAATAAAAATTATTGAAATTAATTCATTTGCTTAATTCTTTTAAAAATAATATAATACGTTAATTTTACCTAAAAATTGTTATGTTAAATTTGAAAACTTCCTACCTGGCTTCACTAGTTTTAGTTTGTCATTCTCACCAATCTCATTTGTTAAAATCAACTGAAAATACTTCAAAAAATTGTAAAATACATTATAATAAAGATAAATAAAAGTTTAAAACCTTTTAAATGAACTAGAGAAAATATATCTCATAAACACATTTTTTTTATAAAAAGCATCTTTTTAATATACTCATTAACTTAGTTTTTTATTTTTCTAATGAAGGCATGAGTTCATATAATAATTTGTTTAAAATAAATTATTAAAACACACTTATTTTTCACACATACTAATTAAATAAAATTATTCTTTTTGTCCCTTAACTTTAAAATAAAATTTATTTTCTTCCTCTAACTTTTTTTTAGTTTACTTTAGTCATCTAACTTTTTAAAATGTTTCAAATAGGTCAATTTCCGTTAAAAAAATTTTATCGTTTTGCACCACATGTACTGTACATTATTGTTCATTATCTTCCTTTTTATATCTCTGACACCTCTTTTTCTTCCTTCTTCATTCTCACTTTCATCTTATTATACTCAAAATTTTATCTTCTTGTTATCAACACCAAGCACCTACCTTCAACTTTCAAACTATAAACAAATTAACTATCTAAATATCCATTTTTCATCTCCGATATATCTGCGCTTATTTTCATATTGTGCTTTAAGATTTCAAAACATTATATTCTTGTTGGTGAAGATTTCAAAGGTCATAATAACATGAAAATTCTAAAATAAAAAAATGAGAATATTATATATTCAAATCGGCTGAAGATGAAAAATAAGTATTAGAAAGTTAAATTATTTATGGTTTGAGAGTGGATACTTGGTATTGGTGACAAAAGGATGAAATTGAATATAAGAAAATAAAGATGAAAAGAAGAAGAAGAGATGCCAAAAACCTAAGGAGAAAGATGACGTAATGAATAATATACATAGTACAAAATGATAAAACTTTTTAAAAATTAAAAACCTAAAGTGAATTAAAAAAAAATGTTAAAGGACATAAACAAATTTTATCCTAAAGTTAAAGAACAAACAATAATTTTGCCTACTAATTACCGATATATACTCATTATATTTCATATGCTTATATATTAGTCATTGTATTATCACCTCAACATCATGTCATATTACACTTGGTCTACAAGACTGACACGCACATATTTTCAAGTAATCTGGCTTAACAAGTTCTTGAAGAAATATACTGACACCAGAAAAGAAAAAATATTCAAGACAGACGGCCAAAACATTTGAGTGGGAATTTCAACCGCGGATAATCCAAAATTACCTATAACTATGCAACTGTTCCTAAGGTTCATGGTACCAATCCCAAGTGCAAAAACTATTCACATCCAATTCATTCTATACTTAAACATTGAACATATTGCCCAACAATATATCAGCTCAGAAATTTCCACTTTCGAAAGATCATCCAAAAATGGGTACTCTAATAGATTTGGCAGTACGCGCATCGGTTGATATAACTGAAACAATATCAACCCTCTCCCTGCCACTGGTGATTTCTTCCAGCATCAGATTTTTCAATCAGCTATTCACTGGCATATGAAAAAAATAAATAACCGGTATCATTTATCAAATAAATTCAATGTATCCAACTAGAAGGTTTAAACATGCATGTTTAGTGGCCTGATATCATTCATACCTTACGTGGCATTAGAAACTATACATGCATCTAAGGAATATGCTTCCTGTTCTACATTGAAACATAGAGAACACGGTAAGTAATTCATTTATCGAGTAGCTAGATCTATAACTCACAATGCCTGAAAGAAGATTAACTCAGATTTAAGTGGCAGAATTACACTCAATCAATTGGATGTTTGTCAATTTGGCGAGATGTGTAATGAGCTGAAAGTAGAAGCAGTGAAAGAAATGCACTAGCCACAAAAATTGCATCAAACCACCGGTGATAGAAGTCAAACTGGATATCACCACCCAATACCTCTGTTATAATAATCCTGTCAAGAGATTCAGATCAGACATAATTAAGACAAATGCTGATCATCCTGGCAAGTTTAATGAAATAGTAACTATGTTTATGCATGTAAAATTTCCATTAATCAAGACAAGTGCCTCAAACTACTAGACCCTTACTTTGGTCTGCAGCAACTTTGAGTAGAGTTCTAAACCATTAAAACTAGTAAATTGTATAGATATCTTCGGCTGGACTCTCAGGATTTTCTATAATGATTTTAATTCTGTTTATTCTTTCATTTCCTTTTATCTTCTTCTTCATGCATATAGTTTTATGTGGATGTCAGGCAGCCTCAGGGATTGTTTGGTTTTGAAAATGTTTTTTCACACCAAACATGTCATCGTATTCTCACTTATCTCTTGTTGACAACTTTTTCCCCATTCTGTATAAGGAAGTCCTTCATTAGCCAACAACTCAATTGCATTGTTATCTCCATCCACATGTAGAAACTAATGGCATCTAAAATCAGTAATTCTGATTATGCTGGACATAACTAATGTGCAGATTACTACTAATACCTGTATTCAGTTGCTAAGCTTTTCCTGATTAAAAGAATGGAAGATACAAAATACATTCCCATTATCTCGGACAAAAACAGAACTACATTGCTTGAAGATCCACTTCCAACTCTTGAAACAGCAAAAAAGAACTGCATGCAACCCCAAAAAATGGAAGTTAGGCTTCATAATAAGTCAACAATACAAACTGTACTTCGTACTTCTTACTATATATGGTGAATCCAAACTGTAATTGGATGCGCATGGACTATATTATCCTAGCAGAACTCTAAAATATATAAGACAAATCTCAAATCAACCACAAATGGAAATTTCTTGAAATTATACTCAACTGAAAGAAGACTTTTCTAGGTTTATACTAAATAATAAAGCTTGCCCATGCATAAATCCTTCTAAAATAACATAACCCATTTGACCCATGGTAACTTGCTATAACTCTAGTTCTACCATAATTATTGCAAATGAACCCAAAAATAAACAAATAGAATTCCTAAACGAAATTACTATGATAATTACTCATCCATCAATACACAAAATATAGTTTTTCAATAAAGAACTTGAACCCTAGTCTCTTTAATTATGGATTTCCCTGTGATTCAAGCATCATAAGATGACATTGGGTGCGGCCATTGCTTCAAGAGAGTTTTCCTTTGTTTGAAGTTGGAATTGAAAGTGGATCTTCGAGAGTTATATATGTGAAAGTGTACTTCTTTAGGCCCACATATGACCAACTGAAATTGATAAATGAACTTTTCTTCAGGTCTTATCTCTGCTGCTTATTCTGTGTCGGGTCATATCTCTTCTGGAGACTGCCAACAAGCATGTTCTCCTTTTTCTTAATGATAAATATCTTTTAATTATTAAAAAATTAAAAATTTAAATACAATGCAATAGCATACAAATATTGTTTTATACATATTGCAGGATTCCTGTGCCTTGGGTGAGGTAGATTATACATTTACACACATGCCAGGTAGGAACGTTGTGTTTATGCTTCCATAGCATATTGATTCTTTCATATAGACCATCCCAGATTTTACGCAGAATTAGCCTTCCAATTTTCCATCTGTTTTCATGGTGCAAACCATATGGCTACAGCACATAAGGTTAGCTTCCTTTTAATGAGGTTTCCGCTTTTCAGTTCTTTCCTTAACAGTCCAATTTGCCCACCCCCAACACGAGCAGATGGAAACAGATTGTAATATTACAAAGAACACTATTCAAGAGACTATTTAACAATAAAGCATATTAATATAAATAATCCAAACAACATCAAATGGAAAAAAATAGTGGTTGAAAGCAGCAGGAATACCTTCATTAGATTTGTTAAGAATCCACGCACCGATATCACAACCAACATTCCAATGAATAGCAAGGAAATGTACTGCACAAAAAAATGCAGAACAAATTTGAATACACGCACACACAACATCAAACCATGCAGTATACACATTTTTTACTTTTCAGAATAAGCCCACAACAAAGAATTGAGAAATTCACAAAATATTATATCCTAAAAACCTATGAAGTTTTTCATATTCTTTATTATGAATAGAAAAGTATCAACCAACAAGTGAACTTTTATGGAAGGATCCAAATAAAAAGATACAAAAAAGGCAATGGCACGTGATGACTAACTAGTAAAAAACAGAATGCACAAATACGATCTTACTAGAATGCATCCAGTTAATCCAATTAAGGGAGTTGTGAATGACTGAATAATTTATGAACAAAATGCATTATAAGGAAATTGCATTCAATGGAATATAAATCAGCAAATTTGATTCATGAATTTCCTACTTCTCAAACAAGTCTATTACATAAGTCAAAATATATTTCTGCTCCATCATATGATATAACACGTCAATGGAGATCTTGATGCAATAGCTCAGGTTAGTAGAGGGAAGGAGCAACCAAAGGTGGACAAAGAAAGATATCAGCTGCAAATGCAACAAGAATAAACAAGTCCAAAGAAAACTCCAGAACTTTATGCCAACAAAGAAATTGAACAATCAACTTCTCAAAAAAACTTTAAGATATTTACTAAGAGATATCAAGACAAAGAAAACAGTGTAAATGGGGAAGTCTAACTTAAGTGTGATTAGACTTCTTGTTTATATGTTTATTAATGAATTAGAACAAGTACAAGTCAGTACAATTAGAACAAACCCAGTCCACTGCTCAATAACCTCAGTATGTATAACATTTCCAAAATAAGAAAATATCCAAGTTGGTCTGTAAATAAGAATGCATCAGAGTTTGGAAAGCCACCATTTAATTCCAGAAAGTAAGGAAAGTAACTGGACTCCAACCTGTGATAATAAGGCTGCATTTATTCCTATATCAAAGAACTGTAGGAATATACTTATTATCCTTGTCACGGGATCAACTGAACCATCCTGTCATATAAATACATTATCACCAAAGAAGCACATTAATAGTATAAGAGGATCCATAAGCTAGGAATAAGTAATTACTAATTAGATTATAAATCATTAATAACAATGAAAGATATAATCAAATTAAAGAATCGTTGAGGAATACAATTTACCTGTTTGAAAACAACACTTTGCAATGACTGCACAAAATAAAATAAAATGAGTCAGTTAGCCATATTAACTACAAATTCAAAAAAATAAGAAATCTCATTTGTCAGAGAAATACTTTGTCAAAATATTATTACTGATATTATCACACAGACAGATGTTGCCAACAAAAAACAACATGTGTTAAGTCAGCGTCCATTGAACTTTCCAGCACAGGAATGGAATTCACAATAGAGAGAAGCAATACAAGGTGTAAGCCCACAACTGCATGGTGTGCCATGATAATTGATAAGATGCAAACAAATTTTTACCATAATTTCATAGTTACTCATCACTTGCAATGAGAGAAATGATCTAGAAATAGCATTATCCAGTATAGGGTGATCCTCCAGGAAATGTTTATGTTCATTTCCTCGAATTAAATTAAAAAGAGAATATAGAGAGACAACAAGGAATCTTTCAAAAGGCTAAACAGACAATAAAACTATCTTTGCACTTTACCGATAAATTGTAGCATTCCTCTCTTACTATATTGACCAAACTCCAGAAATTCAGATGTTAAACAGAGAAGGAAGATTAAGGTGCTGATATCCCTAAATACAGATGGCAGCATATCAATTTCAATGCAAAGCTGTGACAAAAAATCTGTAATTCAAATATTATTAAATTTATCTAATGCAAGACTGCACTAGCGTCCAAAGATCTTAAGTTTAAAGGTCAAATTATCTAAGTGTTTCCATTCAAATTTGAAGATAAATATCAGTTCTCGTATTGCTTTTCTCTATTATCAATTCCATCCGTGTATTGGAAAGTTCAATGAAGGAAGACAGCTCATATTTGACAGTACCACTCCACCAATTACAACAGTAGCCTTTCCAAGAAAGACCAAGTATAACCTATGAAACATTAATTCTTGACATCACAATACCTTGATCATTTTATACACACAATAGACAGAACAAGCATAACCAAGTAGATTCTGCATGTGTCCTCTCCAAGTTCGAGAATAAGCAGCAGCTTCCTACAAAGTGAGTACCATTTTTCCCAATAAACAGATTTAAGGAAATAAATAAACAAGTGCAGGAAATATAAAAAAGTGCAACAAAGTTTAATTTATATCTGTAACAAGATCTCACACAGAAGAGATTTGGGTTTTGAAGTGTAATAAAAGCACACCCCAAAACTATTTTGTGCTGAAATTTAATTTAATGAGAACTGGGCTATAATGTAAGGATTGATTAAACAATACAAGAATTTAAATGTGGCAACATACACAACTCTAAAAAGTAAGGGTAATCCCACATATAATAAACCTTTGCTTGACGAAGCTCATAGATCTCCAAGAACAATTGTTTTGAAAGCTCTTCTAAAGCCAGTACTTCTGCTTCCATGCCTTTGATATCTTCACATTTAACAAAAGACTAATTTAAAATTTCTAATTAGTAGTAACTTAACATAATTACAGAAAAATAGGATTAGACAATTAGATATACCATTAATAACGAAATCAATTCACAATAAGTATTTCAATAAAATAAGAATTTTGCTTATAAGCCCAAAACAGAAAATTTTGCTTCCAAATTCTTATCAGAGTTATATACGTTATTATACATTTGCAAGAGTAAGATAAGGCAGCCCCGTTTTGTGCAAAAAGAAAAAACCCGTCAATTGAGCAATTTGATCCAATCCCTCTGAAAATCTGAATATCCAAAAAGTAAATGTCTATAAAATAGTCACTAGCCAGAAACCAACACGAAACTACAAATACTTTTTCCCAAAGAATTGGTAATGGTTGTTAGAGATTTTCCCTGAAAATGCAAGCATTAGTCTCCAACCAAACACCCCAAATTTCTGCATAAATGTACCATCATTATATAAGCACATATATAAAGAAACGCATAGATGCATTCCAGCCTCTATGTCTTACTTCAGTACACAGCTTTTGCTTGCTTTGTGGATCATATAATTCTTCGACTCCGGTTCCCCAAAATTTATTTCAGAAGTGGAAGCTTCAAATGGACTTCTAAGAGTAAAAGAAAACTGACCTTGCTCATTTTGGTCCTCATGCATAGATCGAACAACCGTACCAACAATTCGTTTAATTAAAGATCTAGCATTTAACTTCTGCAATAAACAATTACAGATGAAGCAAGAACAGGGTGTGAAAAGGAAATGAAAAACAAAACAGGATAGCACCACTATTCCTTGACAAACAAACATTTATATGTTTTTAATTTCAACATACTAAGAACATATGCCCTTAGGGAAAATTAAATGCAACTGATTTGAGTAAAATACACCTTTTCCAATTCAAATCAAATGCATTATGCAAAATCAAACATAATTTAAAGTTATGGAACTAAAGCAAATATCAAGATATTATTAATATATATAAAAACTATTAATTGTTATTCAGGCACACATTCTGATAGGATACTGAGTAGGAGTAGTAGTATATAAGAGAGTGATGGGCCTGCAGAAGGAGAATTAGTAAGGCCCAAGGTGTGGCAGGTTTACAATAGGAGGAAGAAGGTGGGCCCTTCAACTAATGATTAGTTAGTTAGAAGGGTATGACGTGTTATAAGGAGAGAATATAAGGGGAGAGATTGTATTGGGCGAGTAAAGGGGTTGATGGTAAGTTAGTTAGAGGAGAGATATTCTCAGGAAGAGTCACTGATTTTGGAAAAGCTACGAATATATTGTAGAGCATTTCTGCTCATTCATACACATTCAATAGTATACAGTATTGTCATTTGATCATATTTTTCTGCTGTCATCTGTTCCTTTTACATTCATAAACCCCTGTTAAATGTTGACTTTAGATGGAACTTTTTATAGGTTTTAGCTCAAATTAGGGAGATAAAATTTTTGGCAGTGCTTTGTCTGTAAATGTGAAAAAAGTGAGAATTTTTAAGGGTGTCACTTGACCATAATACTAGCTACAGGATAAAATTGTGTTCATGGTCTCTCTTTGGTGCTCTACTTATGGTTGCTTCAAGGGAATTTCTATAACCGAAATATAAATTGGACAACTTTGTTGCATTGTCAACCTCAAGCCACTTTGGCTTACTGTAATCTTTTTTCTTCCTCTGGGAATTTATATCTGCCGCAGATGAAGTTTCTCTCCTTTGTTTCCAATAACATTCTTTCATCAAAAAAAAAAAAAGGATTCAACCTAAAAAACATTTCAAAAAATTGCTCCATCACAAACATGCTGAAAGGAAAAAGATAAACACGTTACTTCTTCAGATCCCTGCTTGTGCTCCATCTCCATTTGGCAAAGAATAATTTTCTTCTTCTTCAATATACAAGTCTCAAGTGATTGCATAAGTTGTCTTTCCAAGGCCTTGATCTCTGTTTCCTCAATCTCTCTAATTAATATAAGGGATAAACATCAACAACCATGCCAAAAAAGTAAAAGTAAGAAATTGCAACATATGTAAACCTAGGGCTAAGTTTCTTCATCACATATGACTTCAAAACTGTTTCCTTTATTAAAAAAATAAAATAAAAATGCAATCACTAAAAGAAAGGAAGACAGAGAATTCTCCAAAACAGACAAGAAGAACAAACAGATGATTGAAAAACAGAAAAGATATCCTATATCTATACAGATTCATCAAATCAACCTCCCTACAAGTATAAAAGACAATGAGCTCCCACAAAAATTGCAACAGTAAGAATCTATGATTAAATATTTTTGCATTATGCTCAACACTGATATTCGTCAATTTTGTAATATTAGCATACTCCCACAAGACCCTTTCTCTTAATTCTTTTCCCAAACCGTTGGAAGTAAAGAAAATGGAAATAACACATTTCTCTTCGAAAGTACAGAAAGTCCATCTCCAAGCTTATAATTACCTCATACTTAAAAATAAGATAACTAGACACAAAGAACAGAAGGAAATTTGCGGTGGAAGTGTCCCCACACCGTACACACACGCGAGAAAAACTAAGTAATTACCTGATGAAAAGCGATAAATAACTGTATGGCAAGTTTACAGCACCAAAACCAGATAGAACAGCCATGACAGTAACACCGATCACCCCAATTCTACTCACCAGTTGAGGCATAGTGAAGAAACCTGAAACATAAGGAACAAGTTGCTAATACGAAAGAAGAAATACCATTATATTATTCTTTAACTGCAGTTGCATAATTAATATTTAACTAACTAAATTACTTGAGCCCAAATCCAGTATCCACTACAACAGAATTGGATCGAGAGAAAGAGAAGGAGAATACCTTTATCGGGCGATGGCATTGGGAAGTGAATGCCCATACGCCAAAAGGCATAGAGAAAAGCGAGCAAGAACAAAATGGCACCGAGTGCAGCCCTCTCGGTTCTGACACCGTTGTTTTTAAGCATCAAGTAACAATGATAATAAGGGAGCAAAAACACCAGCAACAAGATCAAACAGAACAAGTCCACCTTCCAGTTCACCACTCTCGCCCTGCACACACAAACAAATCACAAAGCTGTTTTGGAATTGATTTGGTTTAAGAAAGTTAGATTAACTCACTCTTTGGAGAGAATTGGAATGATTTCGAAGAGCACAAGCTGGAGAAGATTGCAGGAGAAGGCAAAGACGACGCTGAAGATGATTTGGACCAGAAATCGCTTCTCTTCGTACTCTTTGTATAAGCGACGGTTCAAGAACCATAAACCGGCCCAACCCAGTAAACACAGAGATCCCACAACCACCGCACCTTCAAACATTCCCCTTCCCCAACCCATCTTCCTAACTCTCAATTCTTCTTCTACTTCTCAATCAAATCAACCATAAGAATAAGATCCCATGAATCACTAATCCAACTCGCCCTGGATCCAACGAATAACAACAATATGCAATGCTTTCTTCAATTTCTCCCAACTCGCCAGCCGGTTTATGTTTCCTTTTCGCTTTTCCCAAACTTTTTCAAGGTTAATTACTTGCTTTATTACATTTCATCCATAGGCTGTACTCTTTTTCCCATTTTCGGCCCTTACTCATTTTTGTTTTCATTCCTCTTTAAATTCATGGAAGTAATATTTAAATCTTTTTCTTTAAATTCATATTTAAAACTTGTTTTCGTTCTTTAAACTCATTTTCCGCCCTTACTAGTGGAAATAAAATTTAATTTAAAAATACTAAAAGTAAAAAAAAATAATTTTTATATTTGCACAAGAAATACTCAATACATTTCTTACCAACATTTAATATATTTTTATTTATTAAATAAATAGAATTATGCTTCATTATGTTTTTTATTTCTATAAATATATGTCATTTTATAATTAGTCTATATTTTTATTAGGAAGTGGTCATTTTAAAGTTAGTAATTTAGAAATTGATCTCTATCGTTAATCTCTTGTGAGCCAACTCACCACTGTCACCTGATAACAAGTAACTTGCCACGTCATTTAAATTTTTTATTTTTTATTTATTAAAATAAATATTTACAAAAATTTCTATAAATATGTTTTATATGTTTGCAAGAAATCTTTCTTCTTTCTCCCCAAACTTCTCTCCATCTGCAACCCCTCTCCCACCCCACTCCCCCCTTTTCAGCAACCTTTCTTCTTTCCATATCCCTATCCCTTTAGGCATTTATTTCTCATTTTCATCCTTCTCCTACCTCCACCCAGCACCTTTACTATCTCCCTCTCTACTACCTATTCTAACTCTAATCTCTACACCTCTCTTCTCTGGGAGCGTATTGGTACCGGGTACGTATCTGGTACTGATACTCGTTAGATACGTGTTGGGTACATACCAAAAAATATTCTAAAAAAAAAAAAAGGTACATTGTGGGTATATATTAGGTACTTCTTGGGTACATTTCTGGTACATGTATCCATTAAAATGATGTCATTTTTTGGTCATTTAAAAAAAATTAAGATTTTAATACTCTGTTTTTCAATTTTCCCTTCGTTGATTTTGTGCCTTAAATCTCAAGTCCTTACCTGGACAAACTGCAGTGCTAGTAGAGATCTCCACCAAGGGCAACTCAGTAATCCAGGGTTTGAACGTGTTGTTGTAGAAACCAAACACAGTTGCAGAAAGAAACAACATTGTCGTTTGCAGGACGCACATAACAACCATATTTCTAGTTATAGGTCCGAGGTAAGAGGTAAACATTGGTGAGGTTTAGATTCATTGGTCATTGTTTCCTCTCTCTTTCCTTCTTAACATTCATTTTAAAGCTTTCATCTTTAGCGTGCATCCTCCTTTTCAATTTTAGGTTCAATTATTGTTCCTTTTGCTCCCCTCTTTCATTGCAACTTTAACTTCATCTTTAACTATTAACTCTTCATGCCATCCAATTTTATTTATTTATCTCTATGAGAATTGGCTCTATTTTAGGCTTGGAATTATAATTATTTAATTCCTATAAAAAATTTTATCGAGATTCGAATTTAGGAAGGAAAATTATGTTTTGGTTTGGGCTTATGATAGATATTTTTCAAAAGTTATTACACCATAAGAGTAAGTGTCCATTATTACTCTCCCAAATTGTATCATTTTAGTTCTTCATTTTATAAAAATATTACTTTAATCTTTATTTTTTAAAAAGACACCCATTTTAATTTATATTCTGCTACAGTTGTATTGTTGTAACTGTTGTTTGTTTCTGCTATTAAGTCTATGGACTTGGTTATGGCTCACATTGTACTGCTCGAATTGTGGCTAATTCTTCCTAATCACATGCAAGCTAGGCTTAGTGATATTATACCATCTCACAGCTACCTTCTACCCTCCCTCGGTAAGAACATCAATACCAATCATCAAAAGTTAAATCATGCAGTTTTCTTCTTATTAAATTTAATTTATTAATCATAACAAAAAAAAATTTAGGCATTTGATTTGGTAAAAAGCTTTATGCAATTTTTCTTATTATTAAATTTACCTTTGGATGTTGATTATGTGATTGAATAGTTAGGTTGATTTGTCAAAATGTCTTCTTCACACCATTCTAGTAGTGGGTCTGCAAATGTCTCTTCCAATCCTTCCATATTTAATAGTAGTAAATTTGCTTATGGAAGTGTTGAGGGTCATTGTCCTCTTTGGGCCTATGTGACAATTGTACAAAGTAAAAAAGATGGAGGAAGGAATACTAGATGGAAATGCAATTATTGCAATGTAATTTACAATGGTTCTTACTCTAGAGTTAAGAATCATTTGTTGAGGGAAAAGGGACACGGTGTAGCAATTTGTACAGAAGTGTCAAATGAATGTATTGAAGAAATGAAACAAGTTAAAAGAATGGCCATTGAAAAAACTATACCTATGCAAGTGCCTTTACCTACTTAAACAACAAGTTTGAATCCACCTGTGGATGGGAGTAAGAGAAGAAGAGGAGGACCATTGGAAAGGGCATTTAGCAATGAGGCTACAGATCACTTGACTTGTAAAATTGCTTAGAATGTTTTATTCAGCCAATTTGTCATTCAATATTACTCGTAATCCATATTTTGTTAATTCCTAAACAATTGCTGCTAACACTCAAATCTCAAGTTTCTTCCATCGAGTTACAATGCTATAAGAACTTCACTCTTACGACACCAACAACATTTCATATCATGACCCACAACATATTACATCGACGCTTACACGCCCCATTCACAGCCTATTATACCGGCGTTAGCATGCCCCATTACACACATGCAACACTTATGCCTCACATGACACCCAATCCACATTTCATTCGCAATATACAACACTAGGCCCACATTGATTTCACAGTACACGACACATAACCTACAATTATTCATAATACACGGCACCTAGCCCCTTTTCATTTGTATTGCACGGCATATAGCCTACATCCACTACTAGTTCATGACATGTAGCTTACATTCATTTACACGTCACCGTACACAGTAATTTCCATCCAATACCTATTCTCTCGTCCTCACACATGATATTCACACGTCACGGCACATGGCCCTCATCACATTTCACAATCAACTTTCATTCTCTACACGTTTTCTACCCTCCAACTAAGCCACATTGCAATATTCTACAAAGTAACAGCGAATTACACACAAAAAGAGTAGCGTAGGGTCCCCCCTTATCTTGGATTGACGATCCACACTCGGATTTGACAAGGAAGTATCCTCCACACAGATTTCAGCCTAAAACACATGGAAGAACTCTATGAGAACCCAAGGACACTGAAAAACAAAGAAAAGGGTTGAACAATGGAAACTCTAACCATTAAAACTCACACCTCCAAGTGTTTCCCACACGGATTCAACCTTCAATCAAACTCCTAAACGGCTTTGGAGGTAATTAATCGGTAGAATAGGGCTTTGGGTCGAGAGGATTGAAGAGATTTGGGAGGGAATTTGAGAAATGAATCTCAAATCCCTAAACCCCCTTTTAAAACCCCTCAGATCACAACACTCTTGCTACAACGAGAAATTCTTGCTACAGCAAGGCATCTCTCACTACAGCGACGCTCTCTGTTGCCATAGCGAAAATCTCAGACGAAACTACATCCTGGTTTCTGTAGAATCTCGCTACAGCAAGACCCTCTTGTTACAACGAGACTGCACCCATAAATGTATCACAAACTGTTGCTCTGTTGCTACAGCGAGAAGATGATAGACGCATGTCTTTCACCCAGGGTCCTCTCGCTGCAGCGAGAATGCCCTGCACCAGCACTTAGCCTATTTCCAGCCCAATCCAGTCATGCACACATAAATACACACATCCATATAATTAATACACATAAACATCATTATTACGCACTTGAGTGCACGTTCCAATACTCATTCTCACACATATAAACATCGATAATTTATATTATCAAAATCTGGGGCGTTACATGATGCACAGAGAAGACTACTAATTAACTTCATGGCAGCATGTGATTCAAGTCTTATGTTGTTGAAAACAATTGATGGATCTGGTGAATACAAGGACAAGAATATATAACAAACCTCATTTTATCTACCATTGATGAAGTTAGAGCACAAAATGTTGTCCAAATAATCATAGATAATGCACCAGTTTGCAAAGTTGTTGGATCTATTGTGGAATCTGTGCATCCTTACATTTTTTGAACACCTTGTGTTGTGCACACACTAAATCTTGCACTCAAAGGTATTTTGTTCTAAAAAAAAAATACATCAGCTAATGAGGTTGCTTATAATGAATGTAGTTGGATCTCTCAACTTATTGATGATGTATACTTCATAAGAAATTTCATCATGAATCATTCTATGGGACTTGCAATGTTCAATCAATTTAATAATTTAAAATTGCTTGCCATTATCGAGACTCAATTTGCATAAACCATTATCATGCTTAAAAGGTTGAGAACCCTTAAGCATGGTCTTTAAACTATGGTGATTAGTGAGCAATGGTCTCATTATAAAGAAGATAATGTCCCAAGAGCTACCTTTATGAAAGAAACAATTTTAAATGACAGTTTTTGGGATAAGATTTATTATATCTTGAGTTTCACGAACCCTATATATGAGATGCTTCGTTCTTGTGATACCGATGAACCAACTCTTCATTTGATTTATGAAAAATGGGATGCCATGATTGAGCAAGTGAAATATGCAATATATCAACATGAGGGCAAGGAGTTAAATGAGTATTCATCATTTTATGAAGTGGTGTATAACATTTTGATTGATAGGTGAACTAAAAGTAACATACCACTTTATTGCTTGGCTCATTCACTAAATCCTAGGTAAAGTTAATTAATTTGCAAGTTTTAATTTATTTTACTTGTTGGGTTATAGTGAACTAACTTTAAGTTATTGATAGGTATTATTGTAGGCAATGGCTTAATGAAGCACCAAATCGAGCACAGGGACAATGGGATTTGTATAGGGAGAAACAAATGTTTGAGAAGCTACTTTTTGTATCCAAGATAAAGATTAGAGGCAACTCGGGAGTTTGTTAAATTCTCAAGTGATGGAGAAGAGATTGGTCAATT